AAACATGTTTTGTGTTTATATGTGGGTCCTATTTCCCAAATATCTCATATGAAATATTCAAAAAAATTTGAATACTGAAATCCTTTTGGATATTAGATACTCAAAACTATAATTAAGGGCCTGCCAGATAGCTCAGCAGACTGAAGCACTTCCTTAGACAGAGCGCCATGGCCAGGATTCCATCCTTGGCGTGCAGTGCTAGCCCCACACCTGGGGTGTGCTGAGACAGCAATTGAGACTGGGCATGGTGGCGCATCTGTAATCCCAGTACTTGGGAGGCTGAAAACAGGAGGATCACTACAGGTCTGATCTACCTAGTGAGACCCTGTATACCCTGTAGAGCCTGTACTAAAATACAGTAAAATAAATAAATAACTATAAAAACCTTTAATGATAGTGTATAAAAGTTTTATTATTGGGCCAGGGAGATAGCTTGGTACTCTAAGTGTCTGCCTGGCAAGTGCAAGGACCCGGATTCTATCCCTGGTACTGCATGCTGTGCCCGCCCCACGCTGAGCCAGCTACTGAAATGAGGCATTGTGGTGCATGCCTATAATCCCAGTGCTAGGGAGGTTGAGACAGGAGCATCACTACAAATCTGAACTGTGTAGTGAGACCCTGTAAATAAATAAATGATTAAAAAGACAAAAAGTTCCATTATCATACATTTAAAGTGGAAATATAGTGGTTTTAAACTTTGTTATATAAAGTTGAAAATAGCAGAATAAGGAGCATTTTCTGAGGCCAGAATTTCCCTGGTGACAGTACGAGAGCAGCATGTTGTTGGAGCAGGGGTGGACCTGTGCATGCTAAATCCTCTGAGTTGATCATTGCCCAGTGGATACATGTTGAGAACTTTACATATCTCTGTGCAGGTTTTATGCCTTCCAGAGAGATTCTCTAGTAGCAGATTTATCGGAGGCGTTTGAAGCTTTTTCAGTATTTGATCAATGATATTAATTAAATGTAGTAAATATGCACAGTAGAATACTATCTAGCCATAAAACTAGTGTAATATTGTTATGTGATGTATGAAGGAGGCAGTTGGAGATAATTTGAAATAAGGCTCAGAGGGTCGGGCATGATGGTGCACACTTGTAATCCCAGCACTTGGGAGTCTGAGGCAGTAGGATCATTGTGAGTTTGAGGCCAGCCTGGGCTACAAAATGAGCTCAAGGCCAGCATGAACTGCATAGGGAGACTGTGTCTCAAAAAGACAAAACGAAAGAAAGAAGACTCAGAAACAAATGTGCCACGTCTCATTTATGCATGGACTCTTAAGTTGATCTAATACAAGTTGACAGTAGAAAAATAATTCAGCCAGCAGAGTAGTGGGGAGTGGTGGCTGGGGAAGCAAGAAGTTCCTGTGTGCGGTTGTTCAGTATGCTGCTGCTTCAGGGGCTAAATCAAATGACAGTCAAGTGTGACCCCAAATGCCATCTAGTGAAAAGGCAAGGAGCTTCAGTAGGAGAAGCAGAGTACTGAGCCTTAGTACCAAATGTGTACTGGGTTTCAACTTACTTGATGCAGTTGACTGTGAGCTACTTTTGAGAGAAAGTGTGAAGTGTGCCATAAATCCCAGATTACAAAATGTTAACATGCAATTTTGTCAATTACATTGGAGTCATGAGATAGTGCTGCTTTACATTTCAGCTTTTTAAGAAATGTCATGGTTGTATTCTGCGTTTGCAAGGGAAAACATTTAATACAAGACATGTAATTTATAGGATTATTTTATGATAGTCACCCATAGAGTCAAGAACAAGTGTACAGGAAATCTCTCCACACACTACAGTCTCAAAGAATCCAGCTGAGGGCCTGGATCCATGGCAGTAACCTTCATGAGTCCAGCCAAAGACTTACAGTTTATGACCATGGCCCTCACACGTCTTATCTGTTGGCCAACAGCCCAGAACAGTGTCTCATGCAGGCCTGTTTCATGGACTTGTGCTTGGAAGGCCCAAAAGTCAGTTGTAGAAGCTAGAAAGTATTCCAGTGGGATGAAAAATCTGTGTTAGTAGGCTAAGGGATCTGAACTGGAGCCAGAAAGTAATGCAAAAGTAAGAATTGGAGCTCCCCAGAAAGGTTTCAGAGCCATCCTCAGTGAAAGTGAGATCCCAAGCTCCTCTAATGATGAGAACCACCAAACTCATGTGAGGAAAGCCAGTGCAACAAGCTTCTCCAGGAGACTGAGCAGTGCACCATCTTCCCCTCCAGAGCCAGGAAGTGATATTCCAAGAGAGGACCAGAGCTGTGCCCCCCACCCCCCAGTGAACCACAGCCATTCTCAGTGACAGTAAGGTCCCAAGTTCCTTTGATGCTGAGAGCAGTTGAGTTCATCAGGAAAACCAGCATGACAGTGTCTTCCAGGAGAACAAGCAGCCTTTCACCCCTGTTCTCCTTTTTATGTGGTTGGCAACAATCCATAGGTGGGTCCTCCACACCTAGCACCATCCTAGTTCAGTTCAGCTGGGTGTTACAAGTTGACCGCCAGTTATCAATCCACCATAGTCATAATCAGAGATGAAACTTAGATTTGTGTTTTTATTGTAATACCAAGCATCTCAATGGATGTTGGCCAGTTCTCATATGAAACAAGTGTGTCCTTCAAGATCCAGCATTAAGGTGATGTTGATTATGTTTTTGACCTTGATGGAGTTACAGGAACTGGAGTGATGTTCAAGGACATTACAGTGAACTCTAAATATTACCAGAGCTTTGTATTGAAGACACAACCTATATAGAAAATGGCCTGCAAAATGGGTAATTTTATCCTCTTATGATAATGACTCATTTCGGTATGACAGTTTCTGTCAGTTAAGACCATTATGCTGTGTCCTCATCCACCTTATTCACTCAATCTGAAGCTGCATCTTCTGGCTTTTCCCCAAAGTGAAAATGACTATGAAAAGTAGACATTTTAAACTGACTCAGGACATCAAGGCAACTAGGCATGTGCTGTCAAGTGGAAAAGGAAAAAGGACTTCCACCAGTGTTTCAGAAAATGGCATGAATGATGGGATAAGTGTATATGAAGCAACTTAGAATATTTTTAGTGAGACAAATGGCAATGTGTCTGACTTTCATTAAGTTTTTACTAAAAAATTACTTTTAGTAAAATTTTCAAAAATAAGCACTCACCATGTTTTTGCTAACAGTAATGTATAGCATACTTCAAAAAACTAAATTTTTCAAGTTTTCACTAGAGAAATAATAAATGTTTGCGGAAGTAGGCATGTTTAAGTGGACTCAAATATTATATAGCATGTACATGTATTAAAACATCATGTTATCATATTAATGTATAGACTTTATGTATCACTTAAAATATATTTATTGAAAAATTAATCAATGGAGGAAAATACAGCTTTGTTAATTTGTATTGTATAGTTTATATTTGCTTTTTGTGCTGGGGATTGTGTTTAGGTCTTCTCTTATTCTGAACATGCCCTCTATAGATACAGTTTTATTTTTATTTTTATTTTTTTCATTAACTTTATTGAAAATAATACGTAGCATATTAAAAGTTGTAGGCAAATATTGAAATGTGAAAAGTATAAGATGTAGACATTGAATTTTAGAGAGGTATTTCTGAAATGAATACATAGCATGAGATTAATAAGACTGCACATTATAAATAATTTGCAAACTTAAATGAATATAACAATAGAAGTTGTCCAAAATAAAAATGAAGAAGAAAGAATTTATAGATCAGTCATATAAAAGTTCACTCTGTGCCAAAATCAAGAAACTTATATTTATAGAATTCTCAAAATAGAAAGGGGTAGACAATAAATATTTAAAGATTTAAAATTTCTGAATTTAGTTGAATTTATAACACCATATTTCCAAGAAAAATGAACCTTTTGTACAAGAAATTTGAATAAAATTATACCAAGATACACAAAAATGAAATTGTCCAAAACTTATGGTAAAGAAAAAAATCATTAAAGCATATGCATAAAAAATATTAGTTATGGAAGAACCAAATTCAATAGCATCTTATTCCACATTAGAAAGAAAAAAACACAAGAACTTTGTGATAGATAAATAAGTGGGTTTTAAGTTGCAGTTTGAGCACTCAGTCTTTAAAAGATGCACTATCGCTATTTTAAATGAAGATAAAAACTAAAAGCAAAATCATGAAACTTTAAAAAGAAAACTGTAGGGGCTGGGGAGATAGCTCAGGAGGTCCTGAGTTCAATCCCCAGTTCCACAAAACAAACAAACACACCTGTAAATCTTAATGCCTTGAATAACATCAAAATGAAGAACCAACTCTGGGAAAGGCACTATATAGGTAATTTCAGTAGATACCACCACAGCATGGAGACAGATTTCATTTCGTTTTTTGAAACAAGTTCTGAGTATGTTAAAGAGGCTCAAATAGAGCGTATCCGCTGAGTAAACTGGGCTCAGAAGTATGCAGCGCCACCGCCATGCTGCTAGAGAATTAAGTGGAGGTGAATTAAGCTGGTGAATTAAGTGGAAGAAGTTAATAATCTGACCAGTTGGTAAAGTGGCACTTAGAATTCAAGTCGGGAGAAATTACAGAAGTGGGAGGAACTTTTAGTTCTGTGGAATGACATCATTTTCACAATCATTTAAAAAAATTACGTGAAACAGAAGGATTACCAGGAATTCAGGCCAGCCTGGGCTATGTAGTAAATTCAAGGCCAGTCTGAACTATATAATGAGACCATGTTTCAAAGCAAACAAGCAAAAATGTATGTGATGAATACTGTAACTTAAGTTGTATAACATCTCAGCCTGATGTCATAGGAAGACATTGTAATATTCTTGTATCTATTATTTATATTTTTGTACTTTAATGTTATGACACTAAATTGGTATTCACAGGAAAAAATATACTTTGACTTAACTTTTTTATTGAAAATTTTTTATGTTCCTTCTAATTTTTGGATTAATATTTAAAAATTTATATAGTTTTTAAAAACTATTCCCATGTTTATTTTTACCCTTTGTTTTTTGTCTTCCAGGAATGCTGCTAGTCACAACAGATACCCTTGGCCACGACTTTCATGTCTTCCAAATTCTAACACACCCTTGGTCCTCCTCACAAAGTGCTGTCCACCATCTATACACTCTTCACAGGGGTGAAACTGAAGCCAAAGTAAGTAGTTAGTTTTTCAGAAGGTTGATTTCTTTGTGTAATATATCTAATCTGGTTGGTTATTTATATCACAATCAAACTCAGTGTTTGTCAGTAAGTATTGTTCTCTGAGAGTGGGTTAGATTAAATTTTAAAAATATCCTATTTGACCCGGTAAATACATAAACAATAGATTAACACCTTATAATTAAAAAATTCAGTGTTTTATTGAAGCATTAGTTCATTTTATGCTGCATTTCCCAAACTAATACCATTTCTTGCTCCATATAAAACTTATCTCATTGAAAATCTCTCCACACTTAACAGTTTGATTTTACACACACATACACCCATCCATATACACATATCTATTATGTACACATATAAGGTACGTATTCACAAATACACGAGAATACTTCCATCTCACGATAAGTGTGGGCGTATGGACACCACAGTTCACTGTGGCTGCTGAAACCTGACTGTGCACAGCTCTCCCCTCCACTTCAGTCAGCACTATCACTCGGTAGCATAAATCACCCGTGGTGTGCCTATTTGATAAGGAAAACTGACAGACACAGCAAATCAGTGCTGGGCTACTTTTTCCTCAGAGAGCCAGTTTTTAAATGTCTGTATATGTGATTGCACAAACATGCATGGCCACACACACACACACACACACACACACACACAGTTTACTGAGTAGTATACTGTGCACCATGTTAACCGATTCAAATACATTTTTTGTAGGGCCGGGAAGATGGCTCAGTAGAATAAGCGCTTCCCTGGCAAGCGCAAAGGTCTGAGTTCAATCCCTGGTTCTGAAAAAAAAAAAAAAAAAGAAAAAAATTGTTTAAATGTGTAACTTAATATTTTAGATATGATTTTGTATAGAAACCATATATTATCTTAATAGCCTAAAACTCCAAATAACCCTTTTTTTGGTAGGACTGTTTTTCATGTAAATACAGTTTTTGATGTATTTACACCATCGTATGTCTGTCACTCTAGGCGATGCCCATTGACCCTATATCATTTATTGGATAGTCCGCCCTTTCTCAACAGTATAATATACTGTTTCTCTTTAATTCTTACCAAGGGAAATGACTATAATAAAATGAAACATCTTAAATACTGTATATAGGGACCAATGAATTCATAGTGATATATAACAAAAAAACTGGGCAGCTTGTTACTAATTATTCTGGATGTGACTAAAGTATCCACCATAAATCTTAGCTTTACTCAAATGGCATAGTTGTATCTTGTGTGCTTACCAACATAATGAGATAGCTTGTGCACATCAACAATGAATTACTCTTGCCCAGCTCTGTAAATTAAACCCATATCTAATTCAGCTTCTAAGTACAATCAGTGCTCTTACAGAAAATACATACATGTATGACAGCTTAAACACCATCAAAATGTGAACGTCCAGTTCTAAAATGTAGGAAGTTCTACAGTATAAAGGTCTTCTGGGTGGTGGCTCATGCCTGTGATCCCAGCACTCTGGAGGCTGAGGCAAGAGGATGGCTGTGGATTCAAGGCCAATCCTGGGCTACGCAGTGCGTTCAGGCCAGCCTGAGCTATTTGTAGTTCCAGATCCTGTCTCAGCCCTTACCCACCGAAAGGGACCTAGCTTCTTTAAGAGTAAATATATTGGGAAAATAAAGTTGTTTTGTGCTGGGGGAAATACTGTTACAGATTAAAGGCTATACTAAGAGAATGTCATCTGAGTGCCAAGTGTGGATTTCTTTGAGTCTTCTCTCATACAACCCAGATTAAAAAGATACTTTTTCATATAAATGTTTATTTATTTTGTAGTAGGGATTGAATACAGGGCAAAGAGCGGCAATATTCCCAATGCTTTTTATTTTATTTTATAATTATTTTTATTTTGAGGCAAGGTTTTGCTAAATTGCTCAGGCTGAGCTTGACGTTCATCCTCCTGCTTTAGCCTCCCACAGTGCTGAGGGAGATTTTTACTTCTAACTTATTAAATAATTAAAGAATTTAATATCTTTGTGATCTGGATTTTAAAGTAAAATGATCTAGTAGTAGAGGAGGTTTGATAAAGTAGTACACCAAATGATACAAGAAAAAGGCGAAGTGGTTCTGTTGATTACAAGGGATGCATGAAAGGCATCATATGAATAGGGTGTGTGAACTTTGTTCCCCACGTTAAACAGAAAATCAAGAGACATGTTTGAGACCCTTGGAAAGTATTACCCAGAATCTGGGTTTTACATGATATTTATTAAGTATTACTAACTTGCTTTGTAATTATATTGTACTTACATTGTTTTAAGAGAATCTGTATGTGCTAGGCATACAACCTGAAGTATTAATAGGTCAAATTATATATTACTAATTTGTATTAAAATTTTCAGTCAAGACAAAGAAATGACATAATTTGTAAGATTGGTTATGTGTTAATGATGTATGGAGATTGGTGATATCTATGTAATATGGTACATTTTAGCATTTTTTTCCCCAAACATATGTTTGGAAAGTCTCTGAAAGAAGCCGTATGCTATTTTGTTTTACCTTTATAACATGATTTGCTGTTCATTTTCTGTCATTTCCCTAACTACTGTCTTTAGGCTAACCTTTTCTAATTATATAAATAATCATGTGAAGATTTTCTATAGTGCCTACACCTTTTATTTTACCTGGTACTGGGAATCACACTCATGATCTTGTACTTGCCAGGCAGGTGTGGTGCTGCTAAGCTATATCTGGGTGCTGTGAAGATTTTTTTATAGTTAGGACTGACATTCCTATATTATAGAAGTTTTCCATGTTGCAATTACTGCATTTTAGAATTAGTCATTGTTGTTTTCTATCTTTTTACTTATGAGATCAAATAGTTGTTTATTAGTGACTTTTCTTTGTAGAGTACTTTAGAAAAAGTCAGAGTTTTCGACTTTTCAGTTTTGTTTTTCCATCTAACCACTTGGCTAGACACTGTATGCCATTTGTGTAATTGCAATAGTGATGTTTTAATCCTTTCTTTTTCTTTGCTCTTACTATTTTGGTCTGTTTTTTAGCATCTTTTTGATTTTACAAGTAATATATGAAAGTTTTGAAAGTATGTGCACACCACCACGCCCAGTCTCAATTGCCCTTTCAGCCTGTCCCGGGACGGTGCCGGCACAGCATGCGGCATGCAGGGGATCAAACCCTGGCTGCTGCGCTTTGCCTAAGTAGACGCTTCAGTCCGCTGAGCTATTTGACCAGAGCTTGTGTTGTAGTTTTTAAATGTTAAGTTTTATAGAATTCAATGTAAAGACTATTACATCTTTTTCAGAAAATCCTATGATAAATTCATTGTAAATTATTAAGTTTAATACAGTTGATTTCTCTGTCAGGATTTCTGGTTAGAAGTGTGTCATTTGGATAATAACCTACACTTGAGCAATGATTCATATTAAGAATGTCACTGTATTTTTTTCTCCTTATCTTGTAGAGTACTTTTTTTTATGTCAGTTATCTTTTGCTTTGCTAAAGTTCATGTTTGTATCTTGATGGGCTGTTGATTTGTTTTCAATAAAGTTGGAACTTCTTTTCTGCATCTACTAATCTATTAGTCAGTCAGTCAGTCTGTCTTTTTTGAGACAGGGTCTCCCTATGCAGTTCTGGCTGGCCTTGAACTCACTTTGTAGCTCAGGCTGGCCTTGAACTTGCAGCAGTCCTCCTTCCTCAGCCTCCCCAATGCTGGGATTGCAGGTGTGTGCCTCTTGGTTTCTTTTAGAAAATAAAATCTTCCTTGGATTCTTGTTTTCTTAAGCTCTTTCAGAGATCCAGACCTTTTTTTTTTAAGACCCTGAGTTGGGGCCAGGGAGATGGCTCAGTAGAATATATGCTTCCCTGGCAAGTACAAGGGTCTGAGTTCAATCCTCAGTTCCGGAGAAAAAAAAAACGAAACAAAACCCTGAGTCATTTAAAAATTGGCTGTGAAAATTGTTATCCTCAATGTTTGAGCATACATTTACTACAAATGATAAAACTCTTCTCAACCATAAGATAATAATCAAAATACAGATCCATAAATTTATGGCACCTGACATACATACCCCATTTAAGTTTCACCAGTTGTCTCTATAATGAACAAAAGGGTCTATCTCAGGAAACTTTGTTATCATATTTTTCATTGTGGAGTAGTTTATCATTATTTCTTTGCCATTTCTGCCACGTCTAGCTATTTGAATATTTTAAACACTTAGTACCTGTTTTTGATGCCTAGTTTCTGTTAGCATTATATATCATTTCATAGATCTGCAGTTTATTGTGGAAACAAATCTTAACTTTCTTGATATCTTTCATGTTTATAACAGTACCTTGCATACCCTCAGTACTAGTTTATTTCTGCCATGTATTCATATTTAACAGGTAGGCAAAACAGAATGTATTAAAGTGATTTTGTTTAGCATACACACCATCATTTGGAATTTCTAAATAGCAGGTATCAAGAGCTAAGAACCATAACATTAATTTTTATAAAATTCTACTTAAAAGTATTTTGATGTGATAAAATTTAACACTAATCATTAAATATGTATGGCACATGATCATCTAGCCATCTTCAAATTCTTCAAAATCATATTATTTGAATTCTTCCAAGAACTCTGAGGGTACTTTAATCAGGCAGAGGGAAAAAGTATGTGGATTTAATTATGTTGAATTAAGTTGTTTGTGGTATTTGACTTGGGATATCCTCTGCATCTGACAGTAATTTTCTTCATAAAGCACATATGTAGTAAGAAAACTAGTCCTTGTTTTGAGAGAGCATATAAATCTTTTCTTTCCCCCAGTACTAGGAATTGAACCCTGGGCTGTCACACTGAGCTGTATTCCTCTCCCTTTTATTTTATAAGTTTGAGATAGAAACTTGCTAAACTGCCCAAACTAGACTGAGACTTGAGATCCCTTTTCCTGTTTCCCAGAGTTCTGAGATTAAAAGTGTACACCATCGTGCCTGGCTATTACATATAAATCTGATAGGTATTTTACTCAGGTAGACT